TTCCTCCCTGTATGTTCTTGGTGCCTTTCGAGCTGCTGCCCTAGTGCTGTAGCTCAGAGTGAGTGAGTCCACTAGTAAGTCTGTGTGCAGTCCCTTTAAGAGGAGCACCTAGGACTGCAGCAGTCCTGTGTCTCACTCAGTCACAATCTCTGCTGGTTTTCACAGCCAGAAATTATGGGGACTTCTCTCCCTGCCACTGGAATCCTGGGCTGGGACGTCTCGCTGTTCAGTAGGGATGTTTTCCAAGATATCCCTCCTGATTTCAATGGTCACACATGGGTGTGGGACTAGCCTGTTTCACATCTCTGTCCCTACCAATCTCAAGGTGGTTTCTTCTGTACATCTATAATTGTAGGGTTTCAGTTCAGCTAAACTTCAGGCAATTCTTAATGGTTGTTCCGTGGTATAGTTGTAATTAATGTGGTTCTGAGAAGAGGTGAGCACATCATTTACCTACTTTGTCATCTTGACCAGAAATCCCAGCTATTTTCTACTAAGCCCAACATTTAAAAGTTTTATCCCTACACAAAAAGATGTGGAAATATGCTACTCCTAATTTTTTTTGGAAAGCTAATTTTTATAAAAATGTCACTTATGTTAATATGCTGCTGTAAAATTTTGAGTTATTAAAGTGTGAATTAGGACTTTTACCATTTCTGAGAAGCAGGGACCTTAGTATCATTCACACTTTTGTGCTGTTGCTGTCAATTATTGTAATTCTCTATATCATTTAAAGCCTATAGTGCTGGGGCTGAATGACTGGGCCTAGAGAGACTGAGTGTCCTGGTTTCAGTATGCCCCCTCCCTGCAGTCCTTTGCTCCAAACCCATCTCATTGAGCAAAATCCTACAGAGGCTTCTGCAAATTGTAGTTCCTTTTGCCTTTGGGTCGCATTGATGCGTTTTTGTGTGTCCCTATCTGCCACCATTGGCTCCATTACCACTGGCTCAGCCAGGCCTGGGGAACCTCGTTCCACAGCCAATGCCCGTTATCTGTTGTGGTGACCTAAATTGGAGTGGTTTGTCCTCAGCTTACCTGAGGCTTTTGCGCAAGTGTCTGGGGCGGGAGTCTCAAGGTCAAGTGTGAGGACGAAAACAATCTGGGTATAGAATCAGAAGGTGAGGTGGAGGCAGCCAATCTCCCCTACTACCCGCTGCCCATTCAGGGGTTGAAGGAGCGTGACACACTGAATCCCTCCATTTTCAAGATGGCAGGATGGTACATACTAGTCTGGCTTCACTCCCTTTGCCCATGTGTGTGTTGGTGGGGGGCAGAGGTGGGGAATCCAGTGGCTGTGTGAGTGAAGGAATCTCAGCCATGGGAAGAGCAGGTGTCATGGTCCTTGGCTTCACCAGTGGCAACAATACTGGTGCTTCGGGTGTAGGCCACTTCTGTTCTAAGGGAACTTGCTTTATGGCAGCAGCAGTGGCTGCCTCACTGCTGCCATTTCAGGGAGCAAGTTTGCCTGTGGTCTGAGAAAACTTGTTTTAAGGCAGCACCTGTTTCACTGTTGTGGCTTCCAGGCCCCAGGCTGCGTCTCATCTGAGGGAACTGGCTTTACCGCAGCAGCACCGGCAGATGCTATATTGGTGACTGGGAGTATAGCTCACTGTGTTCTAAGGGAACTTGCTTTTAAGGCAGCGGCAACAGCTGCCACACTGTTCCCACTTCTGGGGTTAGTAGGGTCAGTTCTGACGAAACTTGCATTATAGAGGCAGCACCACCCACTGCCATTTTGTCACTTACTAATGGTAGGCTAGGTCTGTTCTGAGAAAACTTACTTTAGGGCAGGGGCACCTGCGGCCGACATATTGGCCATTTGGGATGTAGCCAATGTGTGTTTTAAGGAAACTTGGGAGCATTGGCAGTGGCTGCCACACTCCTCAAAATTCCAGGCCTGAGGTCGCATCTGTTTTGAGCAAACTTGGTTGACCAGCAGCACTGGCAGCTGCTATATTGGTGCGTTGAGGTATAATCCGTGTCTCTTCTGAGGGAATTTGCTTTATGGCAGGGCATCAAAAATCACGTGACTGTCCCCTGAAAATCACATATCGCTCACACAGCAAATTATGTGGAATCACCTAGTGGTCACACTGGTACCATGACATGGCAGTCATTCAGGAATCACATGGCGGCCACGAGAAAATCATGTGCCAGCCACATTGGAATCAAGAGACAATCGTGGGAATCACTTGGGAATCCCATAGTGCTTGGATATTCTGTAGTTATTAGTTGTTGTTTTTTTCCAACTTACAGTTTTGAAAGTTTCTATTGACATATCAAGCTCAGCAATTCTTTCCCCAACCAAGTCCAGTTACTAATGAGTCCATCAAAGGCATACTTCATTTCTGTTAAAATATTTTTGATCTTTAGCATTTCCTTTGATTCTTCCTGAGATTTCCATCCGTCCGCTTACATCCCCTTTTCCTTGCATATGCTATACTTTCCCTATTAGTGCTCTTACCATATTAATCAGTTTTAAATTCCCAGTCTTATAATTCCAACATTACTAATGTGTCTGAGTATGGTTCTGATGCTTACTATACTTCTTCAAATTGTGTTCTTTGCCTTTTTGTATGCCTTATAATTTTTTGTTGAAAGCTAGGCATGAAGTACTAGGTAAAAGTAACACTGGTAAATAGGTCTTTAGTGATGTGGAAGTAAGGTGTAGGGGAAGGGAAGCATTTTATAGTCCTATGATTAGGTCTCAGTCTTTTGATGAAACTGTGTCACTGTACTATAAATGTCACCAGTGCTTCTCAAACCCACCCCCATTCCCATTGGTAGGTGGGACAGGATGGCTAGAGTGGGCTATAGTTGGGCTTTCTCTTTCTCAAAACTGAGAATAAACTTTTGTTGATTTAAGTCACCCAGTTTTGTAGTACTTGGTACTTTATTACAGTAACCCTAGAAAACTACAACACAGGAGAACTTCTGATTATGCATTACCTGGGCTTTTAAAAAAATTACTTGTTTTTAAAAATATTATTATAAAGATTATCAAAAGGGCTTATCATTCACCCAATATGAATTCCTTCATGGCGAATGAGGTCAGAGCGACTACCAAAGGCTTTTCCACATTCCTTACAGTCATAGGGTTTCTCACCAGTATGAATTCTTTGATGTCTAGTAAGGTTTGAGCCTTTATTAAAGGCCTTCCCACATTCATTACATTCATAAGGTTTTTCATCTGTATGGATTCTCTGGTGTTGAATAAGTTCTGAGCTCTGAATAAAGGCCTTTCCACATTCTTTACATTTATAGAGTTTCTTGCCAGCATGAATTCTGTGATGATTAGTAAGTGTTGAGGTACTACTAAAGGCTTTCCCACATTCCTTACATTTGTAAGGTTTCTCTCCAGTATGCATTCTCTGATGTTGAACAAGCCTTGAATGTTGAGTAAAGGTTTTTCCACATTCCTTACATTCATAAGGTTTCTCACCGGTATGAATTCTCAGATGTGGAAAAAGTTGTGAACTCTTGGTGAAGGCTTTTCCACATACTTTACATTTATAGGGTTTCTCGCCAGTGTGAATTCTTTGATGATCATTAAGGTTTGAGCAATAATTAAAGGCTTTTCCACATTCCTTACATTCATAGGGTTTCTCACCAGTGTGAATCCTCTGATGTTGAGAAAAATATGAACTACAACTAAAAGCCTTGCCACATTCCTTACATTCATAGGGCTTTTCACCAGTGTGAATCCTCTGATGTCGAGTAACAAGTGAGCCACGACTAAAAGATTTCCCACACTCCTTACATTCATAGAGTTTTTCTGCAGAATGACTTCTCTGATGTTGTATAAACTGTGGGTTCTGATTAAAGGTCTTTCCACATATTTTATATTCACAGGGTTTCTCTTCATTAATAGTTTTTTGATGTGGAGTAAGAAATGTGGGCTCAATAAAAGTGGACATGTCTTCTTCATGGATAAATATTACTTGACTAAAATGTCTCTTCTTTAGAGATAGTATCTTGGTCTCACACATTGATTCCAGATCTGAATAAAAATAAAAAACCATATACTCATTTTTACTATTCTGGGAGAGGTTAAATGTCTAAAAACGAAATGGGAAAATTAACCTGAAAATAATACGTAGGAAAGTAAATGCTTAGACAGTTCTCAAATATGACTAAGCAACTCGTAAAATTGATAAGTACAGAGATTAAGTACAAGTAATAGAGAAAGTTGAAAACAATGACCTCTATAATCATGAAATACTGGTGTGGGTAAGAATCATTTAAAACTTTGGTGATTAGGGCCGGCCAAGTGGTTCAGTTGGTTAAGAGCTCACTCAAGAGTGCGAGCTCTGAGCAACTAGTGGTTCAATTCCCGGCACAAGCTGAGCTGCTGCTGAGCTGCCAACAGGTGGCAGGATGGCTCAGCTAAAAAACAAAAAAAACACTTTGGTAACTACACCTGTTCAGGGCTATCCTCCATGTTATACAGCGATTCTAATCATATACATATATACATTTTTATAAACATATGCTCACACATTCAGAGCATCATACTATGTATGTTTTGTAATTTGTGGATAATTGTCATATCTATATCAAAGGACTATAGAGGAATAAATGTGTTAAAATGTATAAATTGGGGGAAGGTGGTCAGAGACTCTGTGCAAAGGGTATGTTGTTGGCAAATTCATATTAGAGGACAGCCTGCAGTAAGTCTAAGGTGCTGAATGAAACTGTCAACGGTTGTGGAGAGCTGGTGGTGAGCAGTAAAGGTTAAGCCTGGCAGCTGGCAAGCTGACAGGCTCTCAGGCCTGGGTGAGCAGCGTGGGAAGGTTGCTAGATAGACCTCATTCTCCGCTGTGCCGCTGAAGAAAGAACAAGCCTACGTCACATACAACCTTGAAAGTTACAGAATGAACTGCCAGCCTGTTAGCAGTTTCTACTTGCTATACTTTGTCTCGCTTTGGGGACATTTGCTTCCCCACTCCCTCAAGCTCCCAAAACTCCTTACCTAAGGAAAACTACTTTTGCTATAAAAGCTGTATACAAATAATAAACGGTGCCACTCTCCGCTATCAACGGGCAGTGGACCTCCTGAGCCCAACTTTCGTCTCTGTGTCTTTCTTTTCTAATCTCCTCATCCAGTCCACTCAGGTTAACCCTCTAGGTGCCTGGCTGACAAGCCAGGTGGACACAACAGACGAGCGGGCCTCGTCAAATGGTAAACAGTTAAACAGTAACTCTCTTCTGCAGATAAAGTCGAATATGTTGGGGATTCACTAAAAATAGTTTTCCTTAGAATTCTGTAATGCTGACTTTTGGAGAGTGAGAAATGAAATCTTCAAGTTATGGCAGTGGCTAAGAAGGAAGGCAGCCTGAGTAAGAAAGAAGAGAGTAAGAATGAAACATACTCTGTGAGAAGAAGAGGAACTCCATGACAACATTTTTTTTTTTTGCCATTCTGTGTATATCCACAATGACCATTAAAGAACTGTAAATATTGATTTTGGGTTTACAAATAAATTTAATGAGTAGGTGAATATGTAATTATGGAACCTGAGCAATGAGTGTCAACTGTACTTATAATAAAAAAAGGGTTCATTCATGAATAACAGGAAAATTACAGTAAAAGCTTAATAAGGGGAAAGAAAAGCCCCATTAGGACAAAAGATACTGGAGAAGAGAAATAGCAATAAAAAAGAAAGTCAGGGCCGGCCGAGTGG